TGGGGCCGCAGGGGCGGAAATGAAGTGAACTGGCCCTGGGTGTGAACCGGCCGAATTCGAAAGATCTTTCGCAAACGAGGCGACTGATGCGGCGATGGATCCATGGATCGATTTCAAGTCGAATCCAATGAGCCAATGACCCTTCGGTGGTCCAGCGGCCGACTGTGCGGCAATAAAAGTCGAGTTAACAACTTACAGGAGCCAAACACGCCACACGTTGATGGATATCTGTGCGACTCCCTGCGCGGCTCTCCTTGAAGATTGGGGCCAACTCGGCTGGATTGTAGCCAGAACTAGCCATTTTTAAATGTTCCAAAGTTGCTATTGGGACTAGAAACTTAAAATATATTTGTTCCTTGATTAAAGTCGATTGAAGCGCTTCGACCCCAAAAAGTATAGTATTATAGATCAGGATCACCAGTCGAGTTGAGCAAGTCATGTCCGTCTGTCCATACGTTCCTAATGAGCTCTGAAATCTCGGAAACTATTAAAGCTAGAAAGTCGGGACTAGGCATGCATATTCTAGGCCTTCTTTCTCAGCGCAAGTTTATTTCAGAAGGGTGCCACGACCACTCTAATGCCTCCAAACGCTGATAACGATAACGTCTAGCGCCCACAGTTGTTAATATATTATAAAAACGTAAATGTTCTGATTATCACCCATCTTCATGCTAAAAACTGTTGAAATCGGACCATTCATGAAAAAGTTATAAGCAAATAAAGTGTGCCATCTCGTAAACAGCCCATTTGTTGCATGCATATCTCCATCTCTCTCGCACTCCCTTTACATGAGTAAGGGGGGACTATACCGTTTTTCTTGTTCTCATTTCAATTGTGTCCAAACTGTCAGCTATTAGCTTTTTCCTGACCATCATAAATTCCGACATCACTGTCCTGGATCGCTGGTTCGAGTGGTTCTCGTTCTCCTCCTCGAGCTGGGACATCGCACCATCGCCCGCTGGGCCGCCGAAGTGGCACCTTCCGCTGGAAGGTTGGATGGCTGGACGGATGGCAGGGGACTCCTCCACGCCCCGCAGATGCAAATGAGCCCCCGGACGGAGGCGGATGGGGTCCGAGCCACGAATCACGGCTCCTCCTCCGCCGGGCGACGCAGTTAATTGGGAGCTTGTGTTATGACATTCTTATCGCCGAATGCGCGTCGACCCCACCTGGCGGCTCATAAAAGCGTTGAGTTGAGCGCTTGGATTTAGGTGGTTTTGGTGGTTAAGGTGATTCTGGTGGCTGAGCTGTTTAACTGTTGAGCTGGGCAGCTGCGGAGTGGCATCCTAATTGGCAGGGGAGGGGGCAGGGGACGGGAAGTGCGCGTTTCGGACATTCCATCAAATGCGGATCGGATCGAAGGCGCTGCGAATCGGGCAAAATGCGCATACTTCCGCATTTCGGAGGCCACTCCACCGATTCACCTGCTCGTCAGCCAGCTTGGCGCGTTCTGGCCACATTAACACGGGCCGGCCCGCATTATCCTGGGCCAACCATCATTAGTTGCCGGCTCGGCAATTACGCCACTCAATTGTCTTTGACTTGCGCAGGATCTCGACGCAGGATCAGCAGCACCTTACCCATTGGGTTCTTGTTCCTGTTGCTCCCCGGTAATGGAATTATAATTATAGCCTCGCTTCCTCCGCTGCTAATGTTGTCAGCGGGCACGATCCTGAACCCGAGCTTCACTTTCAAGTAGTTTCGGTTTCAGCTCCTCAAGCAGAGTTTTCAGTTTCGGACCTGCAGCTTGATGACTGTCGCCACATTAAATTGTCAAATTGTTTGAGTCCGATATCCCGATGTCCTCATGGGCACGTGCCCATGCACTCTGGACTCATCATCCTTTCGTCCTTTGCCCCTCATAACGGTAGTTCCAGTTGACAAGTGAAATCAGTAAAGAATCGATCGTTCCATCAGGTGAATGATATCAGAACAATAGCAAGGGGATCTATATTAAACATAAATGTATTTAACAACATATTTAACAGCACATTTGCTACAATTGTATGGAATCGAAATGGTCAAGTACCACTTTAATTTTAAGTCATACGGCTTATTGAAAATCCTCAAAATACAATTAACACTTCTACGAAATCTTAAAAAATGTGGGCTCATGACAGATGTTACCGTTATGGGCGTTACATTAGAAGGGGCAAACTTTTAGGTCAATCAATAGGAATTAACGAAACCAATAAACTTATTTTACTCTACACTCCGGGAAAAACACCGTCCTAAAATTAAGTACAAATAGTCTTTACTTAAGAACGATTTTATGCTTAAAATTTTAAGACCGTTTGTACTGAAAAACGGCTGGCATTAAGCACACTTTGGATGTAAATACCTGTCAACTCTAAAAATTTTCAGCAATTTATAAAACACACAGTGTTAATGCCCGTGAGCGGCAAGTCGTAAGTAAAAGTGTAATATTAAGGTAAGGTTCTAAAAAAGTACTGAAGTCCAGTATTTTCTGTCTTAAAAATTCGAATGAAAGCTGTACTTTGCTCTCGAGATTAGGATTTTTAGTCCGAAAAATGTATATAAAAGCATGTTTTTGTTTTATTTTAAAAAGTCATACAAACCTTTTACAAATATTTTCTATCCGATTATTCTGTGGGTAGGTGCGAATGATAATAAAAGACCCTTTTATACACAGTTCTCAAGGCCTTTTAGAGATTTTTTAAATTGCTCAAAATTTTTTAGCATTTTGGGCGACCAGTGCAAACTCTAGGAATCTCTAGAATCCGCATGCTTATCTCAACTTTCTAGCTGTTATAACTTTCAAGATCTCATCCGTCAAAGAAAAGGCAGACAGATGAACCCTATGTGTAACGGTTAAATATAGAGTAAATGTAGATTTTTGGGCTTTTTGGGCGTTAGAATGGTCGTGACAAAGGCTTAAAACCAACTTTCGTTTCCTTAAGATCACTTAAGTTCTTATAGTTTCCGAGATATTGACGTTAATGCGGACTGAGGGTCAGACAGACATTGCTAGATCGACTCTGCTAGTGGCCTGATAAGGAAAAAATGGTGGGGGAGGGGGGTTTTTTAGAAAATCTTTTTTTTGTCTGCAAACTTTTTAATTCCATATTTTAATTCACATTTTGCGAGTGGGGGATTTATTTCCCGAACCCTTGCGGGGTGTAGAAAGTTTCCGACTGAAAAAAAATACCCTCTGTAAAACATCTACATGTAAAAAAGGCACCACCTATATCTTAGTACTGCCCGATAAGTGCGCCACTAGTTAAGAAACTTCTTCATTTTTTGGTTTCTGCGCCACCTGGATTTCATTTTTAATTGGAAATCAAATTCGTATAGTAAACGCCTATATTGTATTTTTTTCGGCAGCAGAGTTTAATATTTATACTCTGTGGTACAAGGTGGATTTTCGACCACATATATATTCTTGATCAGGATCGTAGCGGCCCGCCCAAAATTTTTTCGTATTGAACCATTAGTTAATAAGTTTTGATCAATTTAGGGCACTGTCCTTAAATAAAAGGCCCAAAGACAGTAAGGTCAGCCTACAGATTATAATGATAAGTGTAAAATGGAAAAGTGTAGTTAAAAATGCAATCATCAATGCTTTTTCACGTCTTATCAAAGATAAATAATTTGATCTTTGGTAAGAGAGTATCGGGTATCTCAATGTCGAGGCATCCGACTAAATATATTCATCTTGTTTTAATTTTCTTGTTGTTACAAAAAAGCAATTCTTATAAATATATTTATCTAAATGGAAGTCAAAGCAAAACGTTTGTTGCATAGCATTTTTTTCAGTATAAAACAGTACTTTAAGTTTTCGTATTAGAAAATGACATTGTTAGTAATTTTCTTCGGTATTTCTATTATTAAAGATTTGGTCAGTCATTTGAAATCGATCCGCGCGTAATGAAGTTCACCGCGCTTTCGTTTGCTTTTTTTGGCTTGTGCTGGTTCCATGGAGGTTTATCACATCTTTTGGAGGTGGTTGAAATCGTCCAAACGTAATGGATAGTGGGGACGGTCAAAACTTAAATATTGGTTTTTTTTGCAAGCCTGTACAATGATATAAGATATGTTTGCGGTTCACAAACGTAACTAAAGTATGGCAGATTAAAGTTAAATTAAAATATTCCCTTTCATTTCCTCAAGAGTTTGTCCTAACATCGTGCGCCTGGGGGAGCCAAACAGATCGTGCCCTCCCCGGAAATGCGTATGCATGAAACCAATTAATGTGGAGGCTACAATACCCCATTCCAAATTTAGTTCAGCCCTTTTAGAAGAGAATATAGATCTATTGAGACTGCAAAGCGAAGTGACATTCGATGGTAATATTTTGGATTGTATTATTTGATTCTCATTATTTATTCTGTCTGCAGACAATATTTGGCCGATTTGCGTAATCTTGAATGACTCGGTAGATTTATCGGAGATCCAAAACTTCACGGTATGAAAAAGAAAACCCTCTGGAGTATCAAGCGACTTTCTTCATACCTTCCGTCCAACCCGGAATAGTAGAGTTGTTTCCTTTTATACATTTATTTTAAGTGATAAGCCATTCTGTGCCGGCAAAAATGTAAATCATACTGGCGACACTGGCGCACCGCTGGCTGCCGATTTCACGTATCAGGAAAAAACAATCTGCCAATATGGTCTACACAAAAGTACATTGATACAGAAGCTGGATAGCTAATACATCTTTAAATCATTTTTGAAATTCAAAATGTTACGAACACTTCATTGTAAGCTCATGCCCACTGTTAGCAATCAGTTTACAATTAATTGTTAGCATTATGTAAATAAATATACCCATGTTCCTAAGAATTATTACACTCGGGTGTACTTCTATAGATCACATTATTATTTTCAGAATCTCTGTTAATGAGCCTCTCTTTCGGTCTGAATATATTTATATTTATTCATGATTATAATTTTTTTATGGACTATTGAATCGACAGCTGATTGATAAGCTCGTCTAGGGGCTTTTAATTATACTTATGTGTTGTCTTTTTTGTCAGTAGTACAGAAGATTTTCTCTGGGAACAATGTCTGCCCGGCTTTCGTTGGTTCTGCTCGGGATGGTGCTGTGCCACATGGGATTATCCCAGTTATTGGATGAAAAGTGCCATGACGAGACGGTCACAAATAAATTTTACTATCAAACTGATCTGGTTGACACTCCATGGATCGCAAGCATATACAATAATGATGAATTTATTTGCCATGGGACGCTTGTTCACAAACGTTAGTATATGAACATTGAACACACTTTACAGAGTTACTCAAGATGTTTGGATCGTAAAACTTCTTATATTAATGTTACTTACTTCTAGTCTTCGTCCTAACGACTGCGAGTTGCATAGGGAATAGAAGAAATATGTAAGTAATACTGAAATACAAGCCATACTGGGTTTTAACGACCGTCTTTCCCTAGATTTGTACGTTTGGGGGAGTACGATAAGTCCTGCACTCCATCGTACTGCAATACCGTCGATCAGTACGGAGTTGCGACGGCTATTCAGCATCGCGATTTTGACCCCTACAAGGGCACAAACGATATACTTTTGCTAAGACTCTTCGGGGAAGTGGAATACAATGGTAAGACAATAAGATAGAACTTCGTCTTGAGTCTACACAAAAGGGTTCTAAGTTTTACACCCGCTGGTAGCTGTAAAGTATGCAATGGCCTAACTGAGTTCTTACTTCTACACATTTTCGCAATCTATCTTTTGATCGACTCATTAGTTTTAATATTTCTGTGTGCCTTTAGCCCATATCCGGCCAATCTGCATTATCTTCGATGACGTGGTTAGCTCAGGAACAATTGCAAGATTTAGAGCCTTCGGATGGGGTGGACATAGCCAAGAGCTGCAGACCATAGATCTGTATCATAAGGTTGATACCGATTGCCAGAGAAATGGTATGGTACGGCAACACAACCAGATCTGTGCGGGCACATTTTATGGAGGCTTCTGTGAGGGAATCCCTGGCGGTCCCGTGACGGCAGATTTATATTACGGCGGAAAAAAACTGGATGTACTGTTTGGGATCGTGAGATATGGCAGACATTTATGCAGTTCGGCTAGCGTCTACACAAAAGTGACGGCCTACCAGGACTGGATATATAATAATGTGCGAGGTGCCGAAACCAAGGCGGTTCAGGTTTTCAACGAGGAGTGCAGAACCAATTGGACTGAGGAAGTTTTGGTTCGCCTTTGGGAGGTGTCTCTGATTCAGAATTCTTTCACAGGAGCGCTAGTAACAAACCGTAAGCAATTGTTTACAAGCATTTTAACAAATATTAAGTTTATTACTTTTTAAAAACCAAAGAATTTGTCGTGACTGTGGCCAGCGCTTTCCTTACCAATCCCACTGTAATGTAAGTAAAAATGTTATTAATATTTATTTATACCACCAAATTCCCCTTCATGAATATCCACATTGCAGAAAGGTAAAGACCAAACTTCAGCAGAGTCTTGATGTGGAATCGATCCACCAGCACCCCCACTTTTCATATTCACCAGAATCAGTAAGGAACAATATTGCTTTGCTTAAACTAACTGAGAAAGTTTCAAGCTCAGGTAACTACGTGGCCTTAATAATCGAATTATTCTTGATAACAACTTTTACTCTAGATGCGGTAAAACCAATCTGCATTGTTATGAACCCGAAGGCACCAAGGAATTTAATTGTACTTTTGAATGTGAACCAGGAAGGTTTTATGGGCGTTCATAAGGAAAATGTAGTCCCCGTCGATAACTCGCTTTGCAGCCAAAAGATAGGAATGATAGTTGGAACTAACCAATTTTGTGTCGAGAATCGGGGCGTTCTCAAGTATCAGAAATCTGGTTCAATTGTAGGTACATTTCAAAGTGTACGCGGTGTCAATAGGTACGTTCTTATCGGCATAATTAGCTTTTATAAGAACGACCTGGTCGTTCTTACAAATGTTCAAAATCACGCGTATTGGATAATGGATACAGTTAATAGTCTAGTCATTTAAGAGTCTAGTCGTAAAAAGCTTTTACTTAAAGTAAAGGGAACAAAAACAAAACGGGCAGTAAAAATATATCTGTAATTTGCATGGGATAAACAACATTTGAATGTTGCAATAAATTTAAGAATATATGGTCAAACTATCAGCTCTGGTCGCAGAACATCGCTGATAAAGGAGCATCTCCTATCGAATTAATGTACACGCAGCAGGAATATATTACTGTGAATAAAATGGATTCAGGGTCAGTAATATAGCATCAAAAGGTTATAAAGATCCAACGATCTGTAATGATTGAGTGTTTAATCTAAGCTATTAAATTTGTATCCATGTAGAAAAGGTAGAAACAAAATATTTCGACAGCTTTGACGTTGAATAGATCCACAAGCATATTCAACTTGGGAACTTTACCAATGAGGAAAAACAAAGCTTTGCTTAGGTTAGCTCGGAGGGTGTCAAGCACATGTAAGTACTCATTATTTTTAGAGCCCAAACTAACAAAGTATGTTGCTCTTAGATTTCATAATAATATTCTGTGAAGGCCTGAGACCGAAACCCCCTGCATCGGGGATTGCCCTTCTCTATAGTGATAAAGTAGATTTTATTAGCGCCAAAAAGTGGATTTCAAAGAAAACAGCAGTTCCGATTTCTCTAGCCATGTTATAATGTTTGTACAGACTAATCAATTCTGCGTCGAGCAACCGAGAGAAGATTATATTTACCAGACTCCTGGTGCCGTATTGGGCACATTTGATATGGTCATGAGCGTAATAGCATGATAGACCTTATTCAAAATTGATTGGATGGTACAAACGATACAAAATAACTAACTAAAACTCAATGTAAGTAAGTAGGCAGAATAGTATTAACAAGCCACACAGCATAAATTGAGTTTGTAACTTTTATTGCTGTATTAACGATTTTTATGGCATTATTATCGTGTCATAATTTTTTTTGTAATACTTTAACCCCCCGCATCTCTTTTGAAATATTCCGGTGATCCAACACAACAAATATGCTCAATATTTTTATTCGAATTTTTAAATGAGAGCGCCAAACATTCTTCCTCTTCCTAAAAAATACTAAAACTGTACCCTTTAGCTAAGCCGCACAGGTGTCGCTGTTTAAGTGTAAAAACTATGTAAAGTACGCAGTTTCTGTAAATGGACGCTAGAGGTCTCAAGCAAGGGTCTTAGTTTTAAACATCGATTAATCGATTGTTGTGGCGCCATTGTAAAAAATTTAAAGAAATAATTTAAGGCACATGATAAGTTTTTAGTTTAGCTAATAAAAAGTAATTGCTATAGGTTTTTGGTGTGCAAGAGAAGGGAACTTTCTTTAAACAGTTCGTAGATGTCACCTCCGATCACAATTTATATGTCAGCTGCTGGTTTTTCACGGCTTATTCCCAGACAATTGTTGTATTTTAACGCTCATTAAATTGCCAAGCCAAGTGGATTATATAGTTGCCACATCCTCTTGGCCGTCGCACATCCTCAATGCAATTACGCGCATGCCGACGCGCATGCGTGACATTTTCGAGATGACTGCGCGATGTCGCTTCCTCCGCCTGTGTTCTCTGCGAAGTCCGTCCTGGGGTCTCCAGTCCGATCGGTGGACCCTGATCAAACAAAATAGCTGGCAAATGATTTACTGCCGCCTTCGCGTGCATTAGCCAAAGTCGGGGGGCTAGCACTTTTGGTTTCTGTTTGTTCTTTTCACCTTCCATATCGAGGGAACGGGGGTACGACTGGCTGGTTCGGCCGTTCTGTTGGCCCGCTTCTCGCTCTTGGTCAATATCACTGCAAAGGGCCTAAAGCTGGCGATCTGCAAGGCGGCAACCGGTTTCGGCCAACTGCGCAGTTTGATCGCTTTTTTGTTTTCCTTTTTTTTTGGGAGGCACTGCATTTGGCGTAGTGTTACCCTTACAAAGGGTTTTGGCGATTTTGCAGCAAAGTTGCATAACTTTTCTGTTCCCAAGTTTTATTTCACAAAATTAAAAACCCAATAACTAGACTTAGTATATAGGAAGTCTTGTAAAACATTTAATAAGTGTGGAAACTTAGCTTGGAGTAGGTCAGAAAATTATAATTTTATCAATTAGATGATGAATTTGTAATATCCATAGAGAACTTCTGCAAATCCAAAAATATTATTAGTTATGCCCAAAGTTTTTTTTATAGTTGTGATATTTTTGTTTCTTAACATGGGTGAAGTGTTGAAAATAAAACTCATATGCCAATTAAGTTGATGAGTTTTTGTTATTATTATGATGTTAGAGATGTTTACAAATGGTTTACAGGGTTTTTTGAATGCTTGTTAAGAAATAATTCCCCTCTAGAAAATAGGGTGTGCATAAAATGTATCTTCACCGACTTTTCTGATTTTTCTTTTTGGCGCTAAAAAGGAAAATCAGACAGTGGTGGCCAGTGGAGCTATTGGCCCGGCCAGAATCGGGGTGTTGTTGTGTTGGGGCCGCTGTTGTTTTGGGTTGTGTAGCCGTCACCCAGATTATCAGGAAACTGGAGGAACCAGTTTCGGTGCGATGTGGCATGCAACCTAAATATAGAATTGCAGTTCGCAAAAAACAGCGCGATTTGCTGCAAATTAGCTTGGGCCAAATTATTGATCCAGGCCCAGTGATCCGATTATGCTCGATTCCAAGGCAATGGTACACCTTTATCACACGCTGCGAAATTCATGGATATAACAAATGTTTGCATTGCTTTTTCTGCTTTTTCGGCTTTTTCTGGCCTTATCTTATCAGCAAGTGCCGCATACAGGTACAGATACAGATATACAGATACATTTGCGCACCTTTCGGCCAAACGCTTACCTGTTGATTGAGCGAAACAGAGAGAGAGAGAGAGAGAGGGAGAGAGAGCTGGCCAAGTGGCGCTGTGTGGGTGAGCGGGAGTATCTGTGTGAGGCGCTCGTCTTACAGTGCGACTCCAAACAACCCGTCGTCGTCGAGATCCCGAGATCCCAGCCCTCATTCGCTCGAACGCAACGATCGCGCGCGGTTGTCTCGCCAAAAACAGCATAAGATACAAGCCCGGAACGAAAGATATAAAGCCGAGCAGCCAGTACTCAAGTTCTCAAAACGTCCAGAAACAACTCTCCCGGTCACGGTCCCCCCCCCCCACAAATCGCTTTTCATTTTCGCAGAGAGAACGATTCGAATCCGCTTGCGATTCCAACAAGTGCGAGTGAAGTGTAAGTGTCTTGGCCAGTTTTAGCCTGCCTCCTGCCAAAAAGTTTTCAAAACGGCCGAGAAGAGCCGGTTTCGAGCCACAGGGCTCGAGTGTGATTCATGATTCATGGTCCAAAAAGCTTGACCGTTGACTCAGCATCCCCGAAAATCAAAGACACATTCAAGCAATTAACCCCTTGATTAAAAAGCAAAAGTGTTAACCGCAAGTTGTTGTGTAACTAACCGTTGTCATCGGCATTAAAGATCGTCGAGATGCGGTCTTTAAACTTAATTACGTCCATATCTCGGCTGTTCGGCATCTTAATCGGCTGACGATAAAAGAAACAAACGCTAGAACAGTGTTTTTTAGTGATTTGATTGGATTGCGCACAGCGGCAGATTTTTTGATATTATTTTTACCACTCAACATGATTTAATTAAAAAGCCGAAATTGTTTTTTCGGCCTAAAGATAGGTGATGGGTGGAGGGTTTATTATTATTTGTTTACTTGTTTGCCGTTCTTGTTTAAATCGCCTGAGCTTTTTATGCCGCCCGCGTTGTGTTGCGATGATGTAGACACAAATACGCGCTGCATAAAACATCCAAATATTATATTATATTATACATATTTACCCACATAGTCAGCCATGTTTTCCTGCAGCTTTTTTGTGGATTGTTTACCCCGATACGATTCAATTCGTTTCATTTCATTTCACTGCTTGATTGAGCACATCAGCGCTGGCAAAAACATATTTTACGTTTATTTTTGTTAGCCCAGCGCGCCGTGGCTACATTTTAACATATTAATGTTTTATGGCTCACTTTTCGTGCACTCGAAATTGAATTTGTGGAAATTTCGATTTAGCCAGAGCCATCTCTTTATTAAAGCGACCTTCGATCTCAAAAAGGTTTTGGGGATGTGTGACCCGACGGCATGATTAATAGTTTATTGGGAAATGGTTAATGGATCGGGTAGACCATGATTCACGCACTCAGGATCTTTTGTGACCCAAATTCCCCGGGGTTGTTGTTCCCAATTCGATGAGCACATTGTTGTGGTCTAAAGGAAAACAGATCACGGGAAGTAGTTCACCAGCAGAAAATGAATAGCACAGCCGAAAGCACCTGCACTTGCTTTCAACTTCAAAGAGACGGGCCAAATGTGCGTTTCATAGGCATAGGGAAATACAAAAAATAAATAGGTACAATAATAAACAAGAAACAAAACAATACATTAAAAAAAATGGTATTCTAAAGACCTTTTTTTGTTAAAAAATAAAAAATCAATGAATGGGTAAAATCAGAGTATAAATATAAAATACCAAAATACTTTAGAATTGTTAGATCTATGAATTTGTCTTTTGGTAATCATCTTATGTAAACTTAAATTATCATACAATTTTATCATCTTAGATTTTTTTGGAACTCTTAAATGTAAATTTAAGTTTATTATTCAATGTCTAACAACCCAAATAGTAAAACCCATTTCACTAGCTGCAATTATCGGATTACTATGAGTTATAGCCCCGAAACGGACGGATTGCACATCGGCATTTAGCTGGCTGCGCCGTTAAAAGTTGGGGAATGAAAACAAAATACAAACAATTAGCCAAATAACAAAATACATATCCCGAGCGAAGAACAACAAAACCAGGCGGCCACAAAAGCCAGACAGACATTGGCAGTCGTAGTCGCCGTCGTCTGGTGTTTTGTAGCTTTGCGGCTCTGCCGTCGAATCGGTTGGGAACTGAGAACCAGCAGTGTCTATATAGCTAGGCTATATCTCTCACACGGCCCAAAAGCAGCGACGTCGACGGCGACTGCGACGCCAGCGATGTGGTTGAAAAGATTTTTGTATTCGAAAACGGCACAAAATGCACATAAAAATTTTCGGTTTCGGTTTTTGCTTTAGTTGAGAGAAAATCGTCGCTTAGTTAACGTCGCCCAAGAAC